CATCGCAGGCCAGGCGGCCCCGCTCCGGCCAGGGCCTGGCTGGCGGGCCCGCAGGCGCGGCGGCGTCTGCGCGGCGTTCCGGAAGAGCCCTCCTGCGGGAAGAGAAGGGTCCCGGGTCGTTGGCGCCCCCGGCCGCACGCCGCCTGCCCAGCCGCTCGGGGGCCGGCAGCCTGCGCCGCCAGCCCCGGGAGCGCGCCGCGGACTGCAGTGCCCATCATCCCCCGCTGGACCGCCCGCAGCGCCTCCCCCGCCCGCGATTCCCAGTCCTCCGCCGCTCACCCTCCACGTTTTCCTGAGTATGGAGCTGGGGAAGCGGGGTGGGAGCAAGGAAGTCACCTTCCCAGCAGCCTCGGTGCCTTTTAACCCCTCGCGGAACAGCCTGCCTGGGCCTGGAGGCGGAAGCTCTCAGGCTGGCTGGGGATGATGGGAGCTGCAGTCCAACGCCTTGCGAGGGCGTCGAGTGGGGAAGGCGGCCCCAGGGCGTCAGCCCCATCCCCCTGCCCCACAGAGAGCCGCACTAAGAAGAGAAGCCCCTTCCCTGGGACACAGGAGTGGGGGTCGTGGGGCAGTTAGGAGGCGGCGGGGGAAGGGGCTGCCCCGCCAGGAACGCGTCGGTCGCTCCGTCCTGGCCAAGATCCCGACGGGAAAGCGGCTCTCCCCCCTCCTTTCGGTGTTTCGGGGGAGGAGGAGGATTGGCTGGGCGCCGAGTCTCGAAAGGGTTAAAGAGACAGAGAGAGAGCGGAGGCCTAGAGAGCCCGGAGAGGCCGTGGGGGAGGGGCCACTGGCCTCGACACATCCCCTTCCTGCCCCGCCCCCTCCGTGGGAAAAGCGCTCCAGATTTTCCCACGCCCGCCAGCCGCTCTCTCGGCGGCGCTTCTCGCTCCGCCCGCAGCCCGGCGCGGCTGGCCGGTGGCGACCCCTCGGGGGGGGGCTAGCGGAGCCGAGGGGAAGGGCCGCCCCAGGCCCGCGGCTGGAAGAGGCAGAGGGGAGGGGCGGCGCGACTGTGGGCGCGGGATCGGGGCGGGGGCGCAATCCCAGACCTTTCCTACTCTGTACCGATGAGGCATGGGTCCTCAAGCTACGGCCCGCGGGCTGGATCCGGCCCGCCATGCCCATTCATCCGACCGCCGTGGGTCGCCACGCGTGCGCACGGCGAGGTGCTGGCTTGCTCGCAAGGAGGTCGTTCTGGATTTTCTCGGAGAAAAGGCTCGCCTTGCGAGCAAGCCGGCGCCTTGCCGGGAGATCCTTTTCTCCGAGCAAGGGGGAGATCGTTTTGGACTCGTTGGGAGAAAAGGATCTCTGCACGCATGCCCCTGCCCTTCTGCCAGTGCGCGCATGCGCACCCCCCCCCGCCTGCACCCCCTGCCCTCACCATCTTGGCGGCCCACATCCATCGCTGGCACCTTTCAACTGGCCCCCTATTCAAAAAGTTTGAGGAGCTCTGGGATGAGGGATCTTGTCTGTGCCTCACTGGTAGTCTCGGCTCTGGAAGATTTTATGGGGTGAAGGGCGAACGTGTTACTGCAATTGCGAAGCACACAAGGGCGCTTGTTTAATGCCTGCTTCTGCGTTTCTGATGTGCTGGGGCGACAACACTCCGCCCAACCCGGTTTTATTTTAATGAGCACGTGCAGTTTTGCATGTTTAACTCATGCAAATTTTGGTGCTGTTCAGGCATGAAACAGTGCTTCAGCTGCTCTAATTCCCTGCTTCCACCTCCTCTCCCAGCCCTGTGAGTCCCCCAAGGCTTGGCCTTCACTCAATTCCCCTTCCTTGCAGAGAGAAGTTCTGGCTGCCCCCAGGATTAGCTCAGCCCTTTCGGCTTCTAAGCATTTGCCTATGATTGTATTGCGGGTGCTTGTAGGGCCTTGAGACCCTTGTAGGATGCGACCTCCTGAACCAATGGGCTTTGGAGCAAGGAGAGCGTTGGGGTGGAGGTGGAGGTGGGATCAACAGTGGGCATGTGAGCTTTGCCGGCACAGTGACAGGAAAGGCCCTCTGTAATCCATGCTGGAAGCAGTGGAGAGTTCCGGGGAAGAGCAGGGCAAGCAACTCGCACTCAGGACCCTGCTCAGGTGTGCAGCATCAGCCCTCAAAGTTTTCCTCTCAAGAGGCTGAGGGACCCCAAGTGGTTTGCTGTGGATCTTAGCCACCGACGGCTAGACCAGAAAAGCACCCAAAGACTGATCCTGGACCAATTCCTGACCATCATGGAGAAGGAGAGCTCGGTGAGAGAAGGTGGGCTAGTGACAATTCTCCCGTGGTGGCCCCGGCAGAAGGTTTCCTCCTGAGCCAGGCAGGGGACAAGAAAGAGAAGGCCAGGCGAGAGGATTTCACAGAGGTTGCTCCCAAGGGGCTGAGAATGTGACACTCAGAAATCACACCAAGAGCCAGTCCAGAAAGGATCCTGAAATCCCGAGCCTTCGTGAGGACAGTTGGTTCTGAATGTGTGGGGCAGCCCCTCTTTTGGGGGTGTGCGGACAGATCTTGAAGTTTCAGAGAAGCAGCTCCTTCCTGTAACTGCACCATAGGCCTCCTGACAGGGAGCAGACTTTTCTGATCAAATCGTGGACACTTTGGCCAGCCTCTTGGAGTCTCTGCCCTCCTGACCAGTTCTGGTGAAAAGCTCAAGAAGTTTTGCTCCTCTTCTAAAGTCCAGGTTGAATTATTTGCCTTACTCTTGCTACTCCTTCCTGTGAAAGATACACCTGTGAGCTTTTCTGCCATTCAGAAAGAGCTATCGGCCAGAGGGTTTGAGCGACTCTGCCTTTGTCTTCCCCTTCCTCGGTGTTCTCCTCCATTCTCTGTTGGGGAGCCTTTCTCCTTTTTCAGGCACAAGGGAAGCTGGCCAAGGTAGACATGGATTTCTCTGAGCCAGAGGCGGTCCGCACAGAGGCAGCTGTTCAGGTGATGGAGGTAGAATAGGCAGGTCCTGCCTCATTGGGCAGGGTGGCTTTTCTGGACAGGGCTTCCTCTTTTCCTTGGCCTTCTTGCCCTGAGAATCTTTAAATAAAAACAAACAAAATGCAGAGATACTGAAAGCAGAAAATGCTCTTTTGTTTGTGTTTGTCAATGTACTGTGGAGGTGTGTGAGGTCAAAAAAAGATGCTCTTTGTTCCAGGGACACTGTGTTATTCATAAACCCTCACCAAACAAAACAAACTGAAAAAAAACTGTATGAGTTGCAATTCCAGCTGGACCCCAAAAGTCACTGTGCATAAAAGTGTAAAGTAACAGTAAAAGTGATGCTCAGATCTCTTCACCTTGGTTTTTTCAACCACCTGTCTTTTTTTGTATTGTATGAAAGCCGCTCAGTTCTGCTTCCAGGCAATAACCTTGGGGGTGTGGTGTCCAACTGAACAAAAAGTAAATTCCAGTATGCATAGTTTTTATACCGATTCAGAGTACAACCGCACTAGGAATGCTGCACAGAGTCTGGGTTATGACACCAAAAAACAGATTTTAGAAAAAGTGCTTCAAGGAGAGCCAGTGTGGTGTAGTGGTTAAGAGCATGGGACTGGGACTCAGACGATCTGGGTTCCAGTCCCCGCTCAGCCATGGAGCCAACTGGGTGACTTTGGGCCAGTCACAGACTCTCAGCCCAACCTACCTCGCAGGATTGTTGTTGTGGGGATAAGATGGAGGAGGAGAAAGATGTAAGCTGCCTTGAGCCCTTTGTAGGAAAAAGGCAGGATATAAATCCAAAAAATTAATTAAATAAATAAATAAATAAATAAGGAGCAACGGAAATTGTGGATCTGAAACTGAAGGTATCTGTTCTAGAGGGGTTGATGGTCTGGGCATATTGGGGGTCCGTTTTTCAGTTGGTGCTGGAAGTCTCCAGTTCAGGGTCTTTGCCAGTGGTGCCTCACTGTCCCTCAGGAATCTGCCCCCCCCCCAGCCTTGCTACTTAATGTGCTAACAGGATCTCTGTAAGATGGGGACTTGAGGTTCTTTTCCGGAAATGTCTAGTAGGGGCGGCTTTACTACTTCTAAGCTTGGGAAGAGGTTTGGGTCCCAGTTCTGTGCCTGGAAGCGGAACTGAGCTGGAGGGGGAGGAGAAATGAACTGGGGCCAGACTACAACACCATCACTCACAGCCAGCATGACAGACATCCAATCCAACATAACTAGATGGCACCAGTTTGGGAAAGATGCATAAAACCAAAAGCATGTAAGAAAGGCCCTGCTGGATCAAACCCAAGAGCCGCCCAGTCCATTGCTCTGCACACACGGTGGGAAGCCAGCTGCCCGCAGAACCCCTCCAGCAGAACGGGAGCAAGTCCTGAGCCCCAGTTTCTCAGCTGCATGCAGGCACATCTGCTCTGGCTGAGGAGGTGGCACATGGCCAACAGGGCTAGTAGCCACTGAGAGCTTCCTCCCTTGGGCCACTTCCCATGGCAGCACATCCACAGAACTATGTTCCGTGAGGAAGGACTTCCTTTATGTCCAAAACCTCCCACTGATCAGCTTGATGGGATGAGCCCGGTTTGAGTGTCCTGGGAGGAGGAGAAAAATCCACCCTTCTCCACACCGTGCAGTATTTTAAAATCTTCTCTCATGCCTCCCCTTCCTTGCCTTTTTTCTAAATTGTCCCAGTTGCTGCAGCCGCTTTGCATAGAGGGGGTACTCCAGCCCCCCAGATTGTTCTCATTGCCCCTGGGCAGATCTGGTCCTCCAGACAGATTTAG